ACACCCCAGCCCCTCACTGGGGGATTCTAGGCAGGGGCTCTACCACTGAGCCACACCCCAGCCCCTCACTGGGGGATTCTAGGCAGGGGCTCTACCACAGATCCTTTACGGTCTAGTATGGGAGAGTCTTTGGGTTTGATCCTCAGCTCTTCATGAACCACTGTGACTGACACGGGAATTCCAAGCATCAAATCTCTTTGGGTTTTTTGGTTTTTGTTTTCTTGAGACAGGGTTTCTCAGTGTAGCCCTGGCTGTCCTGGAACTCACTCTGTAGACTCAGAGAGATTTGCCCACCTTTTCCTTCTGAGTGCTGAGATCAAAGGCGTGCGCCACTACATCCATCTTTGAAGCACCAAATCTCCTGAAGCATTTTGCAAAGTGGCAAGTTTCTCAGATTCCTCTCTTCTCCCAGGCTACTGAGTTGCTGGTGTGTCCAACCGTTTCCAGATACCCTGTCCATGTCAGTATGAGCCCATGAGGACAAACCTCTTTCTTTCTCTCTCTTCTGTCTCTGGTTTTTCTTATGAGACAGGGTGTCTCAGTCAGGGTTTCATTGCTGTGAAGAGACACCATGGCAGCTCTTATAAAGGAGAACATTTCATTGGGGTGGCTCACTTACAGTTCAGAGGTTTAGTCCATTGTCATCATGGTGGGACATGGTGGCGTGCAGGCAGACGTGGTGCTGGAGAGGTAGCTGAGCGTTCTACATCTGGATCCCCAGGCAGCAGGAAAAGAGAGTGACACTGGGCCTGGCTTAAACGACTGAAACCTCAAAGCCTGCCCCCCCACACACACACACACTTCCTTCAACCAGACCACACCTACTCCAACAAGGCCACACCCACTTCAACGAGGCCACACCTCCTCCAATAAGACCACACCCACCCCAACGAGGCCACACCCACTCCAAGGCCACACCCACTTCCCCAAGGCCACACCTCCTCTGACGAGGCCACACCTCCAATAATGCCCCTCCCTATGAGCCTATGGGAGCCGTTTTCCTTCAGACCCCCACACAAGTCCTAGTTTTCTTTCTGTTGCTCTGACAGGTGCTCTGACAAAAAGCAGCTTAGGGAAGGAAGGGGCTGTCTCCGCTTCCAGGTCACAGTCCATCACTGAGGGAGGTCAGGGCAGTAACTCAAGCGGGAACCATGGCGGAACGAGGAGTGCCGCTTGCTGAGTGTCTTCGTTGGGAGTGCTGTTACTGTGCTGAAACACCATGACCACAGCGACTCAGTCCATCGGAAGGAAGTCAGGGCAGGAACCTGGAGGCAGGAGCTGATGCAGAGGCCGAGGGGGTAGAGCGGCTTAGTGGTTGTTCTTCGTGGCTTGCTCAACCTGTTTTCTCATAGAAACTTGGGTCACCTGCCCAGGGGTGGCTCCACCCACATGGGCCGGGCCCTCCCCTGTGGATCACTAAATAATAAAATGCCCTGCAGGCTTGCCTACAGCCTGACCTTGGGGAGGCATTTTCTCAGTTGGGGCTGAGGACCGAACCCAGGGCCTTACGCTTGCTAGGCAAGTGCTCTACCACTGAGCTAACTCCCCCGTGCCCTTCCTCTACTCTATGTCCAGTAGATCTAATATGAACCAGCACACTTAGCTTCCTCCTCTGTCAATTAACAATCAGGATGACCGGCAGCCCGATCTAAGCAGCCCCCCACCCAATGACATCCCCTTCTCCGGTTACTCTAGGAAACCATCAAGTTGATGGTTAAAGTTAACTAGGATATGGGTCTTATACAGTCTCGGCTGGCCTCAAACTTGCTGTATAGCCAAGGCTACCCTGAACTCTGATCTTGCTGCCTCTACCTCCCACACTGGCATTAGAGGCCTAGAAGTGGATTACCATGCCCACAATGTGTTCTCTCCCTCTCTCTCTCCACACATACCCCCCACATACACACACACTTACTTGAGATAGTTTCACTATGTAGCCCAGGATGGCCTTGAACTCATGATCCTTCTGTCTCAGTCTCCTGAGTGCCTGGATTCCAGGTATGAGTCACAATGCCTGATACAACTTGCTTCCTGTTTTCCCGTGGGGTCTTCCTTCCCCAAAGGGCTGTCTTCCCTGACTGTCTTTCTTCCTTTCATTTTTGTTTGTTTGTTTTTTGAGACAGGGTTTCTCTGTGTAGTTATGGTGCTTGTTCTGGAACTTGCTCTGTAGAACTCAGAGATCCGCCTGCCTCTGCCTCCCGAGCACTGTTATTAAAGGCGTGTGCCAACACAGCCTGGCCCTGAGTGTATTTCCAGCTCACTGCTCCTCACAGGCATGCATTTAGGAGCCTTTAAAAGCCATGCTGGGGGTCAGGAGGATATCAGGGCTGAACCTGTCTCACCCAAACTTGAAGAGACAGTCTCTGAGAGAGAAGCTTCATTCAGTGACATGGCCCCCTTCCCAGCTCCTTCCCTATAGGGTCCTGGGCCTGTCATTCAAGGGGTGAGGCCAATGGGGCGGGTACTAGGGAATGAGGAACCTCCCCTCCCCCCACCCCCACCTCCGCCTTAGCCCTGGGAGGGTGGGTTCTGCCAGGGGCAGAAGTGTTGATGGCTGTGCCCTGGAAGCAGATCTGCCCCCAAGGAGAGCAGCCCCATCTTGTCCCACAGACCCCTACCACAGGTAGGAGCTCGGCTGTGCCCACCCAGGCTCTGGGCAAAGTGCAGATGGGTTGGAGTTTGCAGTAACTTGTCAGTCAATGCCAGGTGGGAGCTGACTGGGGGCAAGCATGGCTCTCCCGGAGCAGGTGGCTACAGTGACCCTCTGAAACTGGCCATGCTCGGGGAGAGCCTGGAGCCACCCCGGGGTCCATTCTGTCCTTCTGGAAACCCCGTTGAAGGCGCAGAATTCTACAGAGGCCGGGGGCTGGGGAAGGGCAGGCGCCGGGACAGAGAGTGGCTGGTCAGTGTGGGGACCAGGCCAGGGAAGGACTGGGGCTTGATGGGAGGTTGGAAGGGAGAAGAGGTTCTCTGGAGGCCTCCCGGAACAGGTGTGAAAAACTCAAAGTAAGGGGGTAGCGGCCGCTTTGGCATGATGGGTTTACCTCAGGACTAGTCTCTAATCTTGGGCTTCAGGTAGCCTACTAACAAGGGCCATGGTCCTTGGGAGAGAGGGGTGGGCCTCTGGTGATTAGTTTCTAGTCCCTCCCCAGATCCTTTTGTGCAGAGTCGGGGCACAGGACTGCATGAGACTACTTCTGATACTGGGAGAGATGTGGGCATGGCAGGCATGTCATCCATCACACACTAGGGACAGACATCCAGAGAGATAGACAGGTGCTTCATGTCACTGCATACTGATACTCAGAACCTGTTTGGTTTTTCTGGCCAGGCAGAATCAGCTGAGACAAACACACACAGGTATACACACATGCCATGCACAACACATATTCATACACATATGTAGGCACTTATGCACACACATACATATATATAAAACTACCACACATGCATGCTTATACACATGGACAAACACATAAGTATACACACATGTACACACATGGCAACATACATACATATACACACACCATACAAATATAGAGGTCTACATGTATACACATATGCATATACACATGTACACAGCATATACAGGTGTGTATACATATACACATACATGCACACATTCACATATATATACTTAAGCTCTCAGACATGCATATACACATATGCACATACATATACATGTTATGCTCCCATATACACTCCCAACATGCTTATATACCCAAATACACATACCACGTAGACATATACACACAAATATGCATACCATATAGACATACATACACCATAGAGACATGCACTCCCTGACCTTATGACCTTCTCTAACTCACTTGGTCTCGAGAGGTGGCTTATGTCAGAAGGTCTGACCAGCCTTCCTGGCTTAGGATTCTGGAGGGGAAGTGTGTGTGTGTGGGGGGGCACAGCCCACCAAGCCCTGTGAGGAGCTACCATGGTGGTGTCTGTTCTGAATGGCCCAGGAGGCCTTGGGCACAGAGCACATGCTGGTCAGGGTCAGAGAAAGGTGCCCGGAAGGGAGAGGGTAGGCGGGTGTCGCCCCAGCCCGGGATGTGGTTAGGCCATGAGCAGCCTGCTTCCCAAAACCAGAATAGCCCAGAACTTACACAACCCACACCCCTAAACAATCTGGCTGCCTTGCCCGCCTCTCCCATGAGCTTTTCAGGCTTCCTGGCTCCCGATCACTCGCACCCCGACTCAGCCCACTCTGTGTCCCCCAAATGTCAGCCTAGGCTTTGTTCTATCAGCCTCAACTTACTGATCTTTCAGCAAGCCTAACCTACTCCCGACCCACTGACCTCGTGAACCTGCCCACCCTTGATTCATCCCCGACGCAGAGGCAACTCCCTTGTACCCCACCTTTTTCCTTCCCAGAACCTCTCTGTGACCCCTTCTTTCTAGAATGCCAACAGTGCTAAAAAGAGGAGCAGACATGGGGAGGGGAAGTGAGCCAAGAGTGGGGCTCCGTGGGTGGGCAGCTTCCTGGGGTCCCTGCTCGCTCACTCCCAGACCCCACCATCTGTCCCGGGATGTCCGACCCGTCTCTAGTGCAGCTTCGCTTGAGTGTGACAGAAACCGTTTCAGCGTCTCTGGAAGCCTTCCACCTCTCCTGGCTCCTGTCCCACCTCTGCCCAGCGTGGGGACTGCATCAAAGGCCTATCCTGAGTCCTTAATATCATTTGCTCCTCTGTGTGTCCCAATTACAGATTTCTTCACCAATTACCGCCCCCCGCAGACGCCCACATCTTCAAACTTCCTGGAGCCCCCCAGCGTTGGCCCCATGGCCGACTCCCTCTTCAGCAGTGGGATCCTGGGCCCAGAGATGCCATCTCCAGCCTCCTTGTCCTCCTCCTCGGGGATGACCCCTCTCTCAGGGACTACCCGCCTACAGGTGAGTGTATCCTGTTCTGCACAGCCTGCCCAGGGCATCTGAGAGCTGGCTCTGGCTCTGCCTGGGGCCAGGACGTAGCTAGACTCTTTCTGAGCCAGCCAGGAAGAGATCTTGGGAGAGAAGCCCCTACAAAGCAGAACTAAATGGAGTGAATTCTAGAAAGAGAGTGGAGGAAGACAGAGGATATATGAACCGCAGAGCAGGGCACAGTCCAGAGGAGGGTTTTCTTGTGTTTGGGTTTTGGTTTTGGTTTTGAGACAAGGTTGGTCTCAGGGCCCTGAAGGGCCTGCCTCTGCCTCTTGAGTGCAGAGACAAAAGGCGTACACCACCATGCCTGCCCAACATCCTGGGTCTTAGTGAATGGGCTGGTGAAGGGCAAGCCAGATGGATAGGAATGTGTGCATGGAAGCAGGATGGGAGTGTGTGTGTGTGTGTTTAGGCAACTGTGAGTTGGTATCTCGTGTCAAGAACTCCTGTGCCCAGTTCAGAAGTCATTTCCCTGTCACCATTAGGTATCTGTTCTGGTTTCATTTCTGTTACTGTTAAAATACCCCGAGAAAAAGCAAGTTAGGGGGAGAAGAGGAGTTTCTTTCAGCTAGCAACCTCAGGTTACAGTCCATCAGTGTGGGGAAATCAAGGCAGGAACTTCAGTCTCACCACATCTACAGTCAAGAGTAGAGAACAGTGACTGCATGCATGCTCATTCGCTTACTTAGTTCAGCTCCATTTCTTTACTCTGACCCAGTTCAGGATCCCCTGCCTAGGGAATGGTGACACCCACAGTGGTCTTCCCATATCACCTGACTTAATTAAGATCATCCCCAACAGACATGCCCATAGGCCAACCCCATGTTGGCCGTTCCTCCCTGAGACTCTTCCCAGGTGGTCCTGGGTTGTGTCATGTTGACAGTTAAGCCTAACTACCACAGTGTCCTTTCTCCTGTCATTGGACTTTTCACGTGCTTTTGTAGTTGATTGTGAGATGTCTCTCTCCTCCACTGGACAGACAGCTTCTTGCTGGAAGGGTTGTTTTGGTCACCACTGCATTCTCTGTACCTAGTGGTGTCCACACACAGAGTATCATTCAATAAATGGTTGCCCAGGGAGTGAGTGAATGAGAGCAGAGAGAGACATGCGCAGCAGAAAATGGAAAGATCATGGTAGACAATGGCGCCTGCGTATGTGGGTAAGGGAATGTAAAGTAAAATGGGCTGGTGAGCAGTTGGGCTGGTGAGTGGATCCCCACACATATGGTTGGGTAGATTGATGAATGAACTAGCGGGTGCACGGGCTGGTGATACATGGCTTTGTGAATGGATGGATGATGTGTTACATTAGTGGTTGGTGGATGTACAGACGGTAGATGAATAGACAGATGGACGGGTTGATGGGAGGATAAAGAGAGTTTGGATGGTTGGATCTGTTGGCGAATGGCTCCCCGAGGCTCCCCGAGGCTCCCCGAGGCTCCCCGAGGCTGGAGCAGTGGCCAGTCTCTCATCACTGTGCTGCACCTAGGAAGACAACCTCAGGGAAAGAGATACGCTGCTCGTGGTGTCCGAGGTTTTAGTCTGTCACGGGGGAGGAGGTGAAACAGAGCAGAGAAGCTAGGAAGCAAAGACAGAGGTGGGTGCTGGGGAGAAGAATGCCTTCCCGAGATGGCTTCACCCCCACCCCCCGACTTATTCCATCTGGACTCCCAGACTATGAGCTTACATTCATGTCCCCATCCCCATTTTAGTTACTTTGTCCCTCGCTATGACAAAACGCCAAAAGCAACTTAAGGAAAGGTTTTCAAGACAGGGTCTCTCTGTGGAACAGTCCTGGCTGTCCTGGAACTCACTCTGTAGCCCAGGCTGGCCTCGAACAACAGAGATCCGCCTGCCTCTGCCTCCCGAGTGCTGGGATTAGAGGCGTGCGCCACCACCGCCCAGCACAAAAGGTTTCTTTTGGATCCTGATTTGGAGGATACAGTAGAGGAGGCAGGATAGCAGCACATCAAGACAGCTGGTCCCACTGTGTCAGGGGGCAGAGAGGAGAATACTGGTACTCAGCTTGCATGCTCATTTTAATTTGATGATGATGAGGAGGAGGAGGAGGAAGAGAATGCTGGTACTCAGCTTGCATGCTCATTTTAATTTGATGATGATGATGATGACGGTGTGTGTGTGTGTGTGTGTGTGTGTGTGTGTGTGTG